CTTCTATGTTTAAATAGGTTTTAGTAAGCTTAAGATAAGAATCTTAGGTAATGAAAAAGCATTGTGCTATAGTTTAATTTATGGTGCTTTTTCCTTTCTTAAGTGGGCTCCCCTAAGAGATGGGCTTTGCTGGTAGCTCAGTTGGTAAAGAATCTGCCTACAATGCAGGAGACCCCGGTTTGATTTCTGGGTTGGCAAGATACCCCAGAGAAGGGGTAGGGTACCCACTCCAATATTGTTGGGCATTCCTGGTGGCTCAGATGGTAAAGAATCCACCTGAAATGCGGGAGACCTCGGTTCAGTCCCTGGGTTCGGAAGATCCCCTGGAGAAGGGAACAGCTACCCACTCCAGTATTCTTGCCTGGAAAATTCCATGAACAGAGAGGAGCCTGGAAGACTACAGTCCATGGGGTCGCAAACAGTCAGACACTGAGCAACTTTCACTTTCTTTTCTTAGGGGTACATAAAATAATGGGGCAAATTATAATTAACACAGATTTAATGGAACATAAGGATTTCTAAGTTCAAGATCAAGTGACCTCTAAAATATAGTAATACTAATATTTATCTTCACTTTTTCCTAGAGCACTTATCTAACACACTATATTCAGAATTTTTTTGTTTACTGCTTATTGTCTCTCTGCTAGATTTCACATTCCACAGAACAGGAATTTTCATCTATATTGTTCTCTGATGTCCCCCAAATCCCTAAAGCAGTGCCCAGCACACAGTAAGTCCTCAATCAACATTTGTTGAGTGAGTGAATGAATGAATGAAATCTTTCCATGTGCTGTTCTAAGTGCTTTGCTTGGAATATTTCATTTAACTTTCACAAGAAAGCTAAGTAGCTTTCTAATCATCCACATTTTCTGTTGAGGAAACCCATGAGTATAAGTTCAGTAACCTGTCCAAAGTCCACAGCTTGACATCAGTGGCAGGGGGAGAGGGTAGGACTCAAGCCTAGTCACACTCTTATCCACTGAACTTCTGACACTGCCTGTATTTCTTTTCTTGATTTAATTCCTATTCCAGGCTCCCACTGTAGTTGGTGCATGCCTCTACCATAGCTCTTAATACTCTTTATTAGAGGGTAAGTATGGCTTATGTCCTCCACAAGACTGAGCTTCTCAAGGGCCAAGATCTATCCTTACTTATCTTTGTATCCCCAAGGCCAACCATGGTGCCTAGCACTGTGCAGGTGCTTAATACCTGTAAAGTAAACTGGTTATGTAATACAGAACAAGGAGCATGAAAGAAGAGTCAACAGTTTCCAATTAGAGGTCAAAGGACTTACAGAACTGATGAAAAGAACAGCTTATAAGCAGAAGCTGTTCTGGAGAAAGAATACTATGTGTTCCCAATTTTAACCTTATTGGAGTGATGGAAGGACAAACAGATGGAGATAAACCTTACAGACTTGGAAAGAAAGAACTGGTACAAATGTTCTTTTAGGACTAAAACACAGACTTGCAAGTCTTTTTTTTTAAAAAAAAAAGCAAACTAGAGCTATGATCAGCTCACCATGGAAAACAGAATGCAAAGAAAAGGAGAGAGGAAAAAAGGCGACATCTTGGAACATACCTATAGTTAATAGGAGGGAGAAGACAAGGATTCAGCACAGAGATCTAAAAGAAATCCAAAGGATCTCTGCAGCAACACTGAAGTCAAAGGAATCTTTCTTGTTTGTGTCCCTGAGTAGGTGTCTGTGATGACTGCTTTGTAAAACAGCACAGATTATAAATAAAAGTCTGTGGGCAGCAACAGAAAAACAACACATACATTTTCAGTGCTACTGGATCTGTCTGGCCCTGCCCACCACTGGTTTGGGGAGCTACTTAGTTCAGACTGGAGAACACCCACACGAAGCTTCTCTTGATGGCAATACGACATGCCTTCTACCTCTTCACCCTGACTTCTCTTCGCCTCCTCTCTTCTCCAAACATAGGTTGGAGATTACACTCCCTTTGGGTCAAAACAGCACATCTGAAATCATTTTATGGCACCCATATTCTTTTACTTGCCCACAGTCTTCAAGACTTTTGTAAGCGAATCTGGCCTCTGCAATTCTTATCCTGCGTTATTGTTTTTATTATTTACCATATCAAAACCTCACAATTTCTCTCTTCTAGTTGTTTTTGCTCTTGGCTAGACCACAGAGCTCCTTGAGAATAAGCAGGGGTGGAGGAAAGGGCATTATTGCAATTCATTGAATCTCTTTGGTAATATTCTTGTCTGTGGACCAGGCATGGACTTCCCAATGTGTTGCATCTGGTAAAGAATCTGCCTGCCCATGCAGGAGACATAGGAGACACAGGTTCAATCCCCGGGTCGGGAAGATCTGGAGGAGGAAATGGCAATCTACTCCAGTATTCTTGCCCGGAAGACTCCATGGACAGAGGAGCCTGGTGGGCTGCAGTCTACGGGGCTGCAAAGAATCAGACACGACTGAGCACATGCACATGCGCTGTGCCCCAGGCATACCAGCAGGAACTGCTTAGCTGCCCAAGTGGCAGTTAGCACTAGAGACTATTGACTTTTGACCTAGAAGAGCACGTAAGATGGTAAATTCATTAAAACCTCAGTAATCACACTATAAGTATTCTGAATTACCATTATTTTCACCTTTCAGTGACTCATATGTACTAAACATGACCTTTATCTGGCCAAACAACTACTCTATTTAAAAATTATATATGACATGTATTCATTCTTACAGAAGAGTGTATGAATTCTTTACTACTGATTCAAATTATATAATGGTTTGGGACTATTCATATTTTCTTGAGTGAGCTAGTTGTTTTTCTTGACATTTGCACAATCGTCTAAATTATACTTGTATTAAGTTGTTTATAAGATGTTCTCTTTTGATTTCTAAAATACAGTTTCATTACTGGTATAAGTTGTTAATATCTCTCTTTTTATTGTCCAATCCCATTCAATTTTTGTCAGTTATTAGTCGTTTCCCCCCAAAAAATCAACTTTGGGTTTTAAAAATCTACTGTATGAAATGATGTGCTAGTGAACTGGCTCTGAACAAAGCAAAACACTATCTTGTTTGAGCTCCACAGCGTGAAGATTCCCATCAGAGGCAATTTCAAGCTACCAGTATGATACTATTGATGATGGAATTGGGAAGAGGTGTGCACAGCTGGCTCTCCTGAGGCAGTACAGGCAGTGTCTGACATACCAATATTTTATTTAACATTTCTTTCATTTCTGCTTTTAGCATTATTTCCTTCCTACTTTCCTTAATTTTGCTCTCCTTTTTCTAACTTCTGGAAAGGGGATGTTTAGCTAAAGATCTTTCAGCCTCTTTTCTAGCATACTTAAGATTGTAAATTTTCCTTTAAGTACTTCTTTAGCTTTATTATACAGGTGTTCCTATTGTATTTTATTGTTTGGCTCAAAGTATTTTCTCATTATTACCATTATGACTGGCTATGGGTTATATGGACTTATTTTTATAATTCTGTATTGATTTCTAGCTTAACATGGGCTTAAAAAAAACATGCCGAATGACCTTTAAAATTTGTTGAGAGTCACTTTACAGCTAGGTATGGGGTTGATGTTGGTAGTATGTTCACTTTCCAAAAAAACCTACACTCTGGTTGTTTTTCTGAGAGTATTCACTAGGTCAAATTCGAATTTTCTATGCCGTTTCTGATTTTCTTTTGCTTAACAGTCACTGGGGAAGGCTTGTTAAAAATCATCTATAGAAGAAAGCCGCAAGAGTTCAAGCAAGGAAAAGGTGATGGATGATGTTAAGAGATGTAACAGGATCAAATCTGAATCAGGAAACCAGAGTTTGGTACCCTGGATTCTGTTTAGTCACTTATTTGCCACGTGTCCCGAGGCGTCACCGCCTCTTTCTGGGGCCATTTCTTTTTTTCTTTTAATCTAAGAAGCGAGGAGTTAAGCCCTCAGAGCTCTTTGAGGTTTCTTCCCTCTCTCGCCTCAGGTGCCAACTTCCACACAAAGTCGCCGTTTCCGGCAGGGCTCGCACATGAAATCTTCCGGCCGGCGCTTGGCGCAATGTGTATAAAAGCTTATATTCATAAAAGCAGCACAGCTGGTTAAAATTACGAAATACTGTAGGGCGACAGACACTGAGATATTAATTAAGCCAAGGCCACTCTGAAGAGTGAACGAATCCCACTCACTTTTCACCTCCATGACCCCAGGACCCGCCCCCTTCGCCGGAGCAGGCCCGGAAGTCACTCCGACACGTAAGAGAAAGGAACAGGAAGTCCCGCCCTCTTGGAACAGAACGGTAACCCGTAAGGGTCATTCTAAGGCCAGCGAGTTCCCTACGTGAATTGTTTCCTTGAGGTGGTGGGGGTCCAAGTGACTTGCCCAAGCGGGCGAGGCGACAGTGCGGCGCCAACTCGGCCCTACGCCCTTCTTCCCGGGTTGTTGGACAGCGTGATTCTTTCCTCCCGTCGGCGCCGAAGGGAACCTGGTTCTGGGCGGGCGGAGAGGTGGGCTTGCTGGCGGGGCCGGGTGGGGCGCGCCCGAGAGGCTATGGACCCGGGAGGTAGCTGACTGTCCGCGAGCATCGGGCTTCCTTTCTGCCAGACGAAGTAGCACCCCTTGTCCTGCTTGGTGATTTTGCCCTCCTGCATTTATAACAGCAACCCTGTAAAGTGGGCAGTGCTACCCTCATTTTACCGTTGGGGAAATAGTCTCGAGAGAATACACGCACTGGCTTAAGTGACAGACCATGTGGGAGCTGTGAATCCAACAGCGGCTTTTTGAGACCAAGCTGCCACCTCAGCAGTGGAGCAATTACATGGAGTAAGGGATAAGCTTCCCATGCGAGTGCTTTTATGTTCCTGTAGAACTGATTAGTTGCGGTGGCATCATGAAAATCCGGAGGCAAAACTTTAAGAAGAGGGGGTCGGAGGGAACGACAATATCTTTTTCTTTGGCTTGCCTCCTCTGGTATTATAAGTCCTTTGTTAATATCACATATTTTGGTTGACAGCTTGAGCCCGCTAGGAATGGCAGCCCCGTCTATGAAAGAAAGGCAGGCTTGCTGGGGAGCCCGCGATGAATACTGGAAGTGTTTAGATGAGAACACGGAGGACGCTTCTAAGTGCAAGAAGTTAAGAAGCTCATTTGAATCAAGTTGTCCCCAACAGTGGGTAAGTTACACTTACACATGTTGCTGTTCACTGTCAAAATACATAGAGCTTACAGTGAGTGGTGAACTATGAATATGAAATGAAGCAGCCTCTGAGGTGTATCAAGTCAACAGTTTCTGTGAGCAGCAGAGAAAACCTTGTCCCGTAATCCAGGCTTGTTTTATGTACACATCAGGCAGACCTTTGGAAAATGTCACCTGACACTTTAAAGTTCCTTGAAAAACAAACTGGGGTCTGTACTCAAGACTATTGTGAACAATAACCAAAAAATTCCAACCCCCTAAGTTGGTAAATTTTTGCAGGATCTTCTTCTTCCTTTTTTTTTTTTAGATTTGGCTCTCCTTGCTCTTAGTTGCGGCATGCGGTATCTATTTGTAGCGTGTGGGATCTAGTTCCATCTTGTTGTTCAGTTGTATCCAACTCTTAGAAGGAAATGGCAACCCACTCCAGTATTCTTGCCTGGAGAATCCCATGGACAGTGGAGCCTGGCAGGCTACAGTCCATAGTGTTGCAAAGAGTCTAACACAACTTCAGTTTCACTTTCTTCTTTACAAGCCCATGGATTGTAGCCCTCCAGGCTCTTCTATGCATGGAATTTTCCTCCTCTAGGAGATGTTCCCCACTCAGGGATCAAACCTACATCTCTGCATCTCCTGCATTGCAGGAAGATTGTGTACCTCTGAGTCACTGGGGAAGCCCTCTAGTTCCCTGAACAGGGATCAAACCCAGGTCCCCTGTGTTGGGAGTACAGAGTCTTAGCCACTGGATCACCAGGGAAATCCCTTTCCAGAATCTTCTGAAGGGATAGTATTTAATCTTGGGCAAGAGTTGACAGATTCACTGTTAGAGCTGCTGTCAGAAATAAAGCTTTCCCTGTTAGCCGCTCAAAATCATGTGGTCATATACCTGAAACACAAAGGAGCTTAGCGAGTAGAAGAAACAAAATGATCGCATGGTGGATTCTGCCACCAGCTGCTCCAAACATCTCGCTGACACATGCTCATGCTCAGTAGGGCCTGTCCTTCAAATGGGAAGGGGTGGAAACGGCACCTACCATCACCAGGCTCAGTAAGTGCTTGATGTTCTTCACTAACACCCTTTGAGTTGGGGGGTGTTGCTGTCAGTTTCCGGAGCAGACAGCAGAAGCCCAGAGCACTGCAATGACTTGCTTGCTCTGTATTGGTCAGTAAGTGGCAGAAACATAGTTCTAAGTCAGGTCCAGCTGGCTGGTGTAAGGTTTGAACTTTGGTTTGATTTCTCACCATCATGGTCCTCCAAACTGTACCAAGCAGTTTGAGAACAGATCATTGTAGAGATGAAGTGGGTTTACCACCTTCACCTTTTCACACCTCAAATTTTTAGATGAAAAACCTGAGGCTTGAAGACCACAAGAAGGCTGTGATGGAGGGTGAGGATGAAGGCATTGAAGAGATAAGTGCTTTAGGTGAAGTCTGTGTGTGTAAAAGCAGCACAGTGTAACCTGTCCATGGGATTACTATGACAATCAGATGTCTAACTTGACATATAAACTGAAAAGTGATAAATCAGTGGCTTGGTGATTGGCTTAGATAATAACTTGGGCAAATATTCTACATCTCTGGTTTTCCCATTAGATAGATGCACAGAGACTTAACTCCTGGTTTACAAAGTGGGTGGAAAATGGGGGAGTTTGGGCCAACATCAAATTCCTTCAAGGCCTGGATACTGTTCCTGCCTATGCAACAGGCCCTTCTTCTCACTCTCTGCTCACTGGCTCTGTGGTCACTTAGAAACAGGGATGTAGGATGGGAGTGATGAAGCCCTTTGAGGTGAGTGTTGGCAGGTTCCATCTCCACCCTTCCCCATCCCACATTTTCGCAGGAGAACCTCTTCACCCTAAGACCTGTCTTTTGACAGCCTAGTCAGGATTTTTCACTCCAGGTTTATATGTCAGAATCACGTGGAAATATAAAAAAAGATAGCTATGTCTCAGACCTCATCTCAGATCTGCAAACTTCTGGAAGCTTCTTTTAAAAGGGCTCTGGCTCAACAGGTGGTTGTGGTGGATAGCCACAGCTGGAATCACTGTCTTAGCCCCTTTGAAAAGTCCACTTCAGTCTTGTTTTTTTTTTCCTCTTTCTCCCCACCAAAACACATAGTTTCTTCTCCATCCTAATGGCTAATGGACCCTCCTGCCTCCCTGATTTCAGGGCAGCTTCTGTCCTCAGCGTCATAAAGGGCTCTTACTGTCAGCCCACGCTTCCTCATTGATGTCTCCCCCACTCATAGTTGGGTCGAGTGCCATGGCATGCAGGCCCACCCTCTCTCCAGGCTCCCGCATGCTAGTCACAGCTAACATTTATTAGTACAGACTCTCGGCACTTCAGGTGCATCATCTATATAATTTATTCCTCACAGTAGCTCTGTTACCCCGTTTTACTTATGAGGGCACCAGTCATGTGTAAGTGCAGAGCCTGGATTTAAGCTCAGTAGTCTTGAGTCCAGCCCTCATGCTCTTCTCTGATCCACATCCTTCTTTTCGTCCCTGTCATGCAAGAAAAGAACCCATGGATTAGGCTGTGCAAATCTCATGTTCTAGAAATTTGTCATAATGCAGGTTTATTTAAATACAAAAGCATTACCTCCTTGGTGGGCTTCCCTTGTGGCTCAGCTGGTAAAGAGTCCACCTGCAATGCGGGAGACCTGGGTTTGATCCCTGGGTTGGAAAGATCCCCTAGAGAAGAGAAAGGTTGCCCACTCCAGTATTCTGGTCTGAAGAATTCCATGGACTGTATAGTCCATAGGGTCGCAAAGAGTTGGAGACGACTGAGCGACTTTCACTTCACCTCCTTGGTGGTGTTCTTCCTTCATAATTCACTCCCCTAGTTTTCCTTGTCTCCAGCAGCCATAGCTTTTTGGCAGACTTTCCTGTGTCTGTTAAATCCATACTCTGTAGAGTTCCCTTCTATGCTGCTTAACTTTCCCAAGCCAGTCTTACCTGCAGCCATGGCTTGAAGTACCACTTAGGTGTTGAGGCCCAAATCTACATCCTCTCTAACTCCAGAGCTCTCTATTTGGATGTTCTCAAGGACCAACCTTGACCTCTGCGTATACACGAATGACTTCTTCCTCATCTTGTATCCAACAGGCCCCTCCTCCCCTGCTCTCCACCTCAGGCAAAGATACTAACATCAACACAGTCCCAGAGATGAGAGTGTCAGGCTCCACAGTGGGAATTGTTGAAGGACTGTTCTCAGGAGTGAAGCAGGGTAACACAACACCCCTGCAATAGGGTCGGTCCAGTGTGCTTAAGGAACAGCAAGGAGAGAATAGAAGTTGGGATATGAGGCACTGAGAAGCCGGGGACAGGGGCTTTTCCTCTGAGTGACAGGGGAAGCCATTGACAAGTGAGGGTATGAGGGGGATGATGGTCAATGACAAGGTGGTGCGATCAATGGATTGTTGGCATCAGGGTCTTAGAAAGTGAAGAGGGGACACCTGGAGAACAGAACTGCTCAGAATTGGGGTTATGGCAGGGCTATGTTTGTTGGTAAGGGTGAGGGCTAGGCTTTGATCCTGGCAGTGAGGCAGGTTGGAGGAAAAGATCTTTGAAGAAAGAGATCAAGGAGCTGAGAGGCCAGGGTGTTGAAAGGATCAAAACCATCTGAGTTATGACATGAGTGTTGTTAGAGAAAACGACCACATCCTAAAAGTTACAGATGCCCCCAAGAAAGAAGGAGTGTGGGCAAAGTATTCAAAATAACTTCTGCTGCATTTGCCAGGGACACGCACCCATGGAAAACCTCTGTCTTCTTCAGACTCAGTCCGAGTTGGACTGTCTTTTCTAGCCTGTGCCCTCAGGCTCCTGCTCCTGTTTCACCTTTGCTTCCTACTCAAGACTTGTTGAAGTCTTACCCAATTGCCATGGAATAAAAATGAAAGAGATTTCCAGAGATGTGTATGAGAAGGTGGAGAGGGTGACAGGGAGGGAGGTGATGGGGTGTCTTCTGAGTGCATTTAGGCGAGATGTTGTGTTTGCATTTGCTTTAATTTTCATTCAGTCTTGTGAAGTGCCATTGTATCTCTTTTATATAATAGGAACAAAGGCTCAGAGAGGTGAAATAATTTGTTCAAGATCACTTAACCAGTTAAGTGGTGGGGAGAGGATTAGAATGGAGGTCTCTCCGATTCCAGAGTTTGTGTTCTTTCACTTAGCTGAAGTCACAGAGGAAGAGTAAAGATAAAAGTAGAACCAAATAGAGATTTACAGTGAATGCTTCTATCGTAAAACACTAAAAATAGAAATTTGTTATATAATATGTAGTTCATAAAACTAATATGTCATCACAAAACCAAATTACTCTTTCCTCCCTTCTTGCTTTGGGTTTCCCTGGTGGCTCAATGGTAAAAGAATTTGCCTGCCAAGCAGGAGACTTGGGTTTGATTCCTGACCTGGGACGATCCCCTGGAGAAGGAAATGGCAAACCACTCCAGTATTCTTACCTGAGAAATCCCATGGACAGAGGAGTCTGGTGGGCTACAGTCCGTGGGGTTACAAAAAGTCGGACACAACTTAGCGACTGAGCAAGCATGCACGCCGCCTTGCTTAGCCCTTTCATCAGTTTGCCTTGTATTATGGTCCTACTTAAAGTCTCCTATTGGGTCTTTAACTTAGGAAGGAGCAGGGATCAGGTCTGTCATTCTAGCATCATCCAATGCAGTCTTCCACAAATAGAGCAACTGGACAGCCAAGATATAATATTTGATCCTAATATCAATTTGGATGGCATCACCAACTCAGTAGACATGAGTTTGAGCAAACTCCGGGAGATAGTGAAGGACAGGGAAGCCTGGCGTGCTACAGTCCATGGTTGCAAAGAGTTGAACATGACCTAGCGACTGAACAGCAGTGTCAGCTTTGGATATTGTCTTTTCCCTGTCAACCTTTGAAATGTCTCAGAAATTCCAGTATTTTGGTATTCATGCTACTATACTGCATCTCATTTGATGACTTAGAGGACACTGGCATTGTTTGTATACAGTGCTTTTCAAGGAATGCCTGTTGATTTGTTAGCCTCTTTGGACATTAGCCTCATAGAGGAGCACATGCTGAGGGCCTTCCACTGTTACCTGAATCAGGTGGTAAAGACTAGAGAGAAGAGATTTTCAAGCAGAGTATGGTATATGCAAAGGCATGGAAGCAAGACGCATGAGAAATCAGCACACTGGGGAGATGGGGTAGCTCTGGGTGGCTAGCATTTCAGGGGCTGGTGGTACACCCAGAGGATAGACAGGCAGGTAGAGATTTAGTCTTGAATGACCTCATTTGCCTTACAAACAAGGAGTTTGGATGTTGCCCTTGAAGGCAATAAGGATACCTTGAAAGATCTTTAAACAAGCAGTGACGTGATCAAATTGAGATTTCCAAAAGATACTTGGCAGTGGTGTGACAGGTGGATTGAAGGTAGAGAAACCAGTCATAGAGCTATTACAGCAATCCAAGTGAGAAATGATGCGGGCCTGTATTGTAGCGATCAAGATGGGGAAAGAGATCAGAGCATTTGGGTGGATGGTGATGCAGTCACTGAAATAGGGGACAGAGGAGGAAAAACATGTTTGTAGAGAAGTAGGTTCTGGACAAGTTGGGAGTGAAATATAAGTAGGACCATTAAATGGAATTGTCCCTGAGGCAGTTGAAAATGTAACAGGAGAAATGCAAAGATCTATTGATTTGCCACAGAAATGTTACGGACATTGTCTACTTCTTCATCTGACATCCTTTATATATGACATCCATCCCAGCTCAGTCAGCCCAAGGCCACCAGGGGTATGTAGTCTGACAGTGAGATTAATTAGCATGCTGTGACCAGGGAGCCCCTGCACTGGAGTTGCTGTGGGCATCTCACCAAGTGGAAGGAGTTATCACAGGGCTTGGGGAAGGGTAGGGTTTCGGTGAAATTGAAATGAAGTGGTGCTTTGATGGGCTCTGTGTATAAGCAGGCCATCAACTCCGGACCGAGAGGTGGACCCAGGGTCCTATTTCCTACAAAGGTAAATGCTGAATGTCATATGCTCAGAAGTCCCTTTCTTGAAGTCCTGCACCGGAGCTGGCCGTCAGGACTACTTTTTTGTGTCAAAGTGCCAGTCAGATCCCCCAGGCAAAAGTGGGGGTGTTTCATTTTTACCAAAGTAACTTTAAAGAGCAAATTTCTGATAGTTTGATTTTGGAAAAGAGAGTTTTTTTGGTGAATAAGAAAGCAGTAGCCACTCAAAGGGGTTTCTTAGGACAGTCTTTGCCTGCAGTATGTCCTCTGGAGGAATGTTAACATCTTTTATCCTAGCTTGAGACACCACCAGGCAGATTTTTACATTCTCAGTCTAAGCTCATTTTTACTTACTTGGGCTCCACTGAAACATTCAACAATTAAATCCTAAGGAAAGTTTTTCTGTTCTGATACTGAAAATGTGTGTCGTATCCTGCCTTGGCCTTATCTGCGGAACAGCTCAGATAAAGACACTGCAGTTTCTGTGGCTGGCCTTGATTTTCTACTTCTGTGATTTCACTGTTTCAGGATGTGGGGCTTTAAGATACTCCAGATTCCCTGTGGCAAGAGGAGGGTGTAAATAGAAATAATAAAATGAAATCTTTAAGTTGTTGAAGTTTTACCATCAGTTTCCTTATTCATAATTCATACATATAATTTTTAACTGTGTATCTCCTTAAATGTATGTTTCTGGATAAGATAAACTTAATAAAAATATCATGACTGATTGGGAATTCCCTGGTGGGCCAGTGGTTAAGACTCTGTACTTCCACTGCAGGGGGTGTGAGTTCGATTCCTGGTCGGGGAACTAAGATCCCATATGTCACATAGTGTGGCCAAAAATAAATAGAAATATCATGGCTGGTGAATTATAAAGCTTATTGAACTCACAGTTGATAAGAAAAACTTGTACAGTGTCTTAAATCATGAAGTCTTATGACCTGAGAGTTCTGTGGACCCTCGTAGCACATTTTACGTGTCTAAGCACAGATACACTTCTTGAGAAAGGTGCACAGCATACTCAAATTCTCAGCAGGGTTCATAACCCAAGAAGGGTTAGAACTCACTGGTCTACACTCCCTTTAGAGACTCTAGAATATAAATTACTTAGGCTACTTACATAATTTATATTGAATAATTACTTACATTTAAGTTTGTTCCTTTTGTTTAATCTGTATAGCTTACCCTTATTTCAAACCCTTTTTTCTCAACAGATAAAATATTTTGATAAAAGAAGAGACTACTTAAAATTTAAAGAAAAATTTGAAGCAGGAGATTTCCAGCCTTCGAAAATGACTGCAAAGTCCTAGGCTGTTCCTGAACACTTGACTTCAGAAAGGTTGAAATTACATTTTCTGGACATTCAAAAATGCTTTGACTCTGGGACAATAGTAGTTTGAATGATGGCAGACACCAAAGCCTGTTTCATATATACGGTTCTTAATTTAAATGATCAAGTAACAAGATTCCATTATTCAAAGTATGAAGAATTGAAATAAAATGATATGAAATATGCTTAATTTAGTAAATATAAATTTTAAGAAAAAAATTAAACTTAATTATAAAAACGTGTACCTTTGTGCTGTTGGAGGGTGGGGAGTAGGCAAATACTATTATAGAGACATATACTGAAAAAAGTAGATAGATTTCCATTGTCCTGGGAGTTAGCATTTTAATACAGCCATCAAAAAATGAGGAATTGAAGATTCAACTTCAGATAGGTAAAATAATCAAGACCATCTTACAAAAAAACCTTACAGCTAATATAGTTAATGATAAGACAATGAATGGCTTCCCAGGTGGCTCAGGGGTGAAGAATCCTCCTGCCAGTGCAGGAGATGTGGATTTGATCCCTGAGTTGGGAAGATCCCCTGAAGAAGGAAATGGCTACCCACTCCAGTATTGTTGCCTGGGAAATCTCCTCCTCCACAGAGGAGCCTGGTGGGCTGCAGTCCATGGGGTTGCAGAGTTGGACATGACTTAGTTACTAAACAAGACAATGAATGCTTTTTCCCTAAAATCAGTAACAAGATAAAAATGTCCCCACTTGTCCTATTCAACACTGTTCAGTGAAGACAAAAAAAGCATACAAATGGGAAATAAAGAAGAAATAAAACTGGCTCTATTCATGGACAATATGATTATAGAATATACCAAAGAACCTACAAAAAAGCACCTAGAATTAGTAAGTGCATCTTAGAAAGGTGGCAGGAAACAAGGTCAATACACAAAATCATATTTGTGTATACCAGCCATGAACAACTGGAATCTAAAATTTAAAACACATCATTTACAATAGCACTAAAAAAAAATAAAGGAATACTTAAATATAAATCTTAACAGTGTGTGTAGGACCTATATCCTCAGTACTATAAAACATTGAAATCAGAGGAGAACAACTTAATTGGAGAGGTAGTGTATTCATGAACTAGAAGATTCAGTGTTGTTAAGGAACTGTTAAGTTCTCCCTAGTTTATTCTATGGGTTCAAATTAACCCCAATAAAAATCTCAGGAAATTTGGTATATGTTGACAAGCTGATTCTAAAATTTGTATGGAAAGGCAAAATAATTCTGAAAAGAACAAAATTGGAAGATTTATATTAAATGATTTTAATGCTATCGTAAAGCTCAAGTAATTAAAGACAATATGGTATTGGCAGGATAGACACACAGTTCAACAGAACAGAAGAGAGTCCAGAAATACAGCCACACAGATGCAGTCAGCTGAGTTTGGACAAGGTGTAAAGAGGATATCCATGCACAGTAAAATGAGCGCTGGTATAAACTGCATTTTATTAAAAGATACAAAAAACCTCAAAATAGATCATAGACCTAAATGTCAAATATAAAACTAATAGAGAAAGTCTACATGATTTTGGGTTTGGAAGTGAATTTTTAGATGATGACCTCAAAAGCACAATCCATAAAAGGAAATAAAGCAAGCTAAGTTGGACTTTATCAATATTAAAAATTTCTGCTCTGTGAAAGACACTATTAAGAGAATGAAAAGATAAATTACAAACTGGGAGAGAATATTTGCAAGTCATATATATCATAGAGAATTTGTATCCAGAATAATGAACTCTTATTTTAAAAAAATCACCCAAGTTTAAAAAATGGGCAAATGATGTGTTTTCACAAATCTATTCATAGTGTTAGAAATAACATATTATGAAGATACTCCATATTATTTGTAGAGTAATGCAAATTAAAGCCATAATAGTTTATCACTACATACCTATTAGAACGGCTTAAAAAAAAGTGATAGTACCAAGTGCTGACGAAGATGCAGAGAAACAGAAACTGGTATTCACTGCTGGTGGAGAAAGAGGTTGCCTCTGAAGGGGTCACAAAGGCATTTTTAGGTGTTGAAGCTGCTTTCTATGGCATTGTGGTGTGCACTTGTCAAAACCCACAAGAATTATACACTATAGAGAGTGACTTTGTGCACATTAAAATCCAATAGGATTTTGGAATAATTCTAGTTTGGAATGAAGACTGATAAATGAGTCTAACTATTACAAATATATGACATAAACTCACTGAAAGGAATGGGTAAGAAAGGAACTGCCCCACATAACTGTCAGACATTGGAGGAGACTGGAGTAGAACCAATACAGCATCCAGGATGCCAATGCCAGTGCTCCTGGGACAGAAAAAGTATCAGTGGGAAACGGGAAACCTGGACATAGATCAGAATCGTCTGCTTAGTGAACAGCACCATTATCAATGTTAATTTCTTAGTTTTGATGAACGTCTGGTTATGTAAGACCCTATTAGAGGTATCTGGGTGAAGTGCATGTGTACTATCTTTGCAACTCTAATGCAAAACAAAAATTGTTTTAATAAAGCTGCAGAAGAAAAACATATACAGGTAACAGATTCTGAAATCCAAACATTATTTAACAGACCCAGACATGACTGAAGTTCACTGCTGGAAGGTGATAGTTACCATTAAATAATAAAGTAATCCTAATAACAAAACCCTCAGAAAAACAGAAAATCAACCCTTGAGGGTTCGTCTCACTTTTGGTAACAATGAGCAAGAGCAAGTCACCTCCTCTGGGTCCCCGTAGACCACTCTAAGAATACAGACTACTATGTAATCATTATTTGAACCCTGAGCAAAGGTGGCATAGGAAAATTTCCTAAAAACTATAAAATGATTATGCCTGAGAAAGAAGAATGGAACTGGAGGAATCAATCTGCCTGACTTCAGACTATACTACAAAGCCACAGTCATCAAGACAGTATGGTACTGGCACAAAGACAGAAATATAGATCAATGGAACAGAATAGAAAGCCCAGAGATAAATCCACGAACCTATGGTCACCTTATCTTTGACAAAGGAGGCAAGGATATACAATGGAAAAAAGACAACCTCTTTAACAAGTGGTGCTGGGAAAACTGGTCAACCACCTGTAAAAGAATGAAACTAGAACACTTTCTAACACCATACACAAAAATAAACTCAAGATGGATTAAAGATCTAAATGTAAGACCAGAAACTATAAAACTCCTAGAGGAGAACATAGGCAAAACACTCTCCGACATAAATCACAGCAGAATCCTCTATGACCCACATCCCAGAATTTTAGAAATAAAAGCAAAAATAAACAAATGGGACCTAATGAAACTTAAAAGCTTTTGCACAACAAAGGAAACTATAAGCAAGGTGAAAAGACAGCCCTCAGATTGGGAGAAAATAATAGCAAATGAAGCAACAGACAAAGGATTAATCTCAAAAATATACAAGCAACTCCTCCAGCTCAACTCCAGAAAAATAAATGACCCAATCAAAAAATGGGCCAAAGAACTGAACAGACATTTCTCCAAGGAAGACATACAGATGGCTAACAAACACATGAAAAGATGCTCAACATCACTCATTATCAGAGAAATGCAAATCAAAACCACAATGAGGTACCATTACACACCAGTCAGGATGGCTGCTATCCAAAAGTCTACAATCAATAAATGCTGGAGAGGGTGTGGAGAAAAGGGAACCCTCTTACACTGTTGGTGGGAATGCAAATTAGTACAGCCACTATGGAAAACAGTGTGGAGATTTCTTAAAAAGCTGGAAATAGAACTGCCATATGACCCAGCAATCCCACTTCTGGGCATACACACCGAGGAAACCAGATCTGAAAGAGACACGTGTACCCCAATGTTCATTGCAGCACTGTTTATAATAGCCAGGACATGGAAGCAACCTAGATGCCCATCAGCAGATGAATGGATGAGGAAGCTGTGGTACATATACACCATGGAATATTACTCAGCCATTAAAAAGAATTCATTTGAATCAGTTCTAATGAGATGGATGAAACTGGAGCCCATTATACAGAGCGAAGTAAGCCAGAAAGATAAAGACCATTACAGTATACTAACACATATATATGGAATTTAGAAAGATGGTAACGATAACCCTATGTGCAAAACAGAAAAAGAGACTCCTATGTATAGAACAGACTTGTGGACTCTGGGAGAAGGCGAGGGTGGGATGTTTCAAGAGAACAGCATTGAAACACGTATATTATCTAGGGTGAAACAGTTCACCAGCCCAGGTTGGGTGCATGAGACAAGTGCTCGGGCCTGGTGCACTGGGAAGACCCAGAGGGATTGGGTGGAGAGGGAGGTGGGAGGGGGGACCGGGATGGGGAATACATGTAAAAAAAAAAAAAAAAAATGAACTATTTTCAACAATGGAAAAAAAAAATAAATAAACATATTAAAAAAAAAATAAAAAAATAAAATGATTATGGTAAATAGATGGGGAAACAATGGAAACAGACTATTTTGGGGGGCTCCAAAATCACTGCAGATGGTGACTGCAGCCATGAAATTAAAAGATGCTTGCTCCTTGGAAGAAAAGTTATGACCAACCTAGACAGCGTATTAAAAAGCAGATATTACTTTGCCAAAGTTCCTTCTAGTCAAAGCTATGATTTATTTCAGTAGTCATATATGCATGTGAGCATTGGACTATAAAGAAAGTTGAGCGCCAAAGAATTGATACTTTTGAAATGTGGTGTTGAAGACTTTTGATGTCCCGTGGACTGCAAAGAGATCCAACCAGTCCATCCAAAGGAAATCAGTCCTGAATAGTCATTGGAAGGACTGATGTTGAAGCTGAAACTCCAATACTTTGGCCACCTGATTTGAAGAACTGACTCATCTGAAAAGACCCTGATACTGGGAAAGACTGAAGGTGGGAGAAGAGGGGAACAACAGAGGATGAGATGGTTGGATGGCATCACTGAGTCAATGGACATGAGTTTGAGTAAACTCCGGGAGTTGGTGAT